TAAAATAACCTTGGCCCAACTTGGTTCATGCTACATATGAAAGGACAGGGGATGTCTAAATAGCAGAACTCCTGTTTAAAAATGGAAGGGCAGAAGTAAGCGAATGACTAGTCATCTGTTTCAAAGATTCTGAACTACAAACATCTGCATTTCCATCAACACTGTTAACAGTGATGAAATGTACCATCTGTCAGCACTTTTTCACATTCTGTGAACTCAAAATGCTTTGGGGAAAAAGGAAATTTTCTGTTGAACTGGTACACATTTTGTGTACTTTTCCATGTAGATAACGACCTAAAAGTTGGTGACAGAGGCAAGAGCAAGTATCTTGAAGCAACTGAAAATATTTTGCAATGTGATGTCACTGTCTTGCTTCTGCTGCTCAATCACTCAGCAGGAATTCTTTTTTCCATGATACTTTCATACATTTTATTTCATTTTCACAACAGCAGATGTCAATGGGACTTACCTTAGAAATTCATCTTTTAAGAAGCAGTCCTGCAAGCTAAGGAAATGGCATAAGAAGACACTACAAAATGCTCTTCAGCACTACAATATGAAATCTTCTGAGGTTCTGTCTCTGACAAATGGACCTTTCTCAGCAGCAGCTCTAACATTTCTCAGGGTAAGACATCCTGGGAAAATACTCAATTCTTCCAGGACTTTGTCTGGCAACTGCTTCTCACCAAAACAGATAAAGCATCACTTCCTCAACGTGCAGCTCTCCAATGTGGTGGTTACACAGGTAAAACTTCAGAAGTTAAACTTGTGGTTCTGTGAATAAAATGTTTATCACTTACCTGTTGAGTACTACGCATTTGAATCAAAAAGAGCCATGCCCACCCTTTTGTTCTGTTTAAATGACAGAGAGACCTAATGTAAATTTGATGCATCAACTTCACATTTTCATTCCATTCACATAGTTCTCCCAGCAAAGACTGGAGGAAAAGAAGCTGGGTCTATCAGGCACTGCCTATTTTAATGACTTGCAGTTACTAATCATGCTTGATCTTTTACTTTTCCTGTTTGCAACTACAGTTCTCAGCATTTTTATTTTGGGTGCTTTGATGCATTATTTAATACAGGTGAAATGATTTGCTACTGAAGTTTTGTCAGAAAAACAAATCCGTTCCTCATAATAAGCCATTTGGCCTCTGTGATGGGCGAAATGAAAAAGGAAAACCAATCTCTCTACATGTGACTAGTCTAGTAATACAGCTGTGGCTCCTTGATCCATTTTGTTTTATGACAAAACTGGTTTAACAGGCAACCAAACCCATATTTTGCCCTCATCTGCTTTTTCTTCTCATTATACACACACACTTTCTCATTGGTATCTGTCCTATGGACTGTACTGTACACTGGATTGCCAAATAATTAAATTTAATAATACCATATAATAGATCTTCTTTTTTCCTTTTAATATATAGTCTAAATTAGAGTGACACTGGCAACTGAAGGAGCAATAAACTGCAGAGTAGATGTGGGAACACATAGCTATGAGACAAGATGCCTGGCAGGAAGGACAAGAACTAATTAAGCCAGTTTTGCTATCCTAGAAAATATCTGATGTATCTACCCAGATGGGATATGGAGAAGTTTGGTTCACCTTAACAGCATCCGTTCTCTCTCTGTCCCACATTAGTGCCAAGAAACTCCACTATCATGGTAAGCATTGTGTGAGTTTGACTCTCTACCTCATGTAAATTTACCACAGTTAGCTCTTCAATATCTCCATTTCCTGTGTCTTTAACCTCTTGTGGGATCCACTCTTCCCCACACCCTGCTTCACTTCAGAAATTGCTATGCAAATCATGTTTCTATATTTCTGAGGGTTTTTTTAAATTGTACTCATGAAGAATAGTTGCATCCTGAGCTATGGGACAGATTAAAACCAGAAGTTAATTAAATATGGATGTACATATGGTGTTTTACTGACTTTAAATACAGTGTATAATCCTTGCCTCAACAGTTGTACTGGTACAGTTTACTATTAAAAACATCCCAAAGTGATGTTTTTTCAACTATTTCTGATGTTCAGTTCATAGCTGTAAGGATTAGCCTTTTCCCAAGATACCAAGTTTTCCCATATGCCTTGAAATGGACAATACTGGAAAGTCTTTACAGACTGATTTTAATGGAAATCTGCAAGGTCTTTCCTTTTTTCTTTCTTTGACCTTCTGAGTCCATCTCCCCTCTGTTCTTTACTCTGCTTCATGATGTCCAGTGGTTAAAAGTATGAGTGGAAGGGCACTTAATTCTGTCTTCTACTGACAATCATTTCACTCATTACAGGGTCTTTCAAAAAGGCTTAATCTCATCTAAAACATGAGTATGTTTTAATTATGGCAGTTGCATAGTACCAGTAAAGCAGAGTCAGAGTTCCTGAACAGGAATGACTAAATTGCCTGCAGTCTCCTTATCCTTCCAACTTGGGTGGAAGTTCCAACTCATAAACATTTAAGAAAAATTACTAGAATTAAATGCTGTTGCCGCAGAAAGTATGGTCTTTGGCTGTATTAGAATTTACTACCTATTTGTAATTAAATATCTACCTGGAAAAAAACCCCAACCAAACAGGATATGCATTGCTCTGATGGAATTGTGCCACAGCACCATAAGGTCTACCAGCACACCGAGGCTATGGTATCTCGCTCAGGAGCAGCGTGGTCAGCCACCCAGTGGGGTAGAAAGCTGAGAACACTATCTCAAGCTGTCATCCTCTGCCAGGGCACCAGCACCCTCAGACATGTTTTGTATTTTGAGTAGATGCCTGTAATTCAGCATGTCTGTAATTCTTGAAAGAGTCAGCTGACCACCAATTTCCTGGATGTACGCTTGGCTCAGGATAGTTCTCCTATTCTTGTAATTATTTTAGTTTTACATGCAATTATTTGTATACTTCCTTCTTTTAGCATATTGTTTACATGTTTAACCGGTAACTCTTTTCCGGAGAATTAAGAATACTGATTCTTTTCAAAAGGTAGAGTATATACAGTAGCCTGGGTTTACCTCTTCCTAAGCCAGTGTGGGTGATTCTGATATTAGAGCAAGATACCAGTTTGGTGCACCCTGGCTCTGTTGAGTTTCCACATAATCAACTTTAAAAACAGTCCAACATTTCCTTCCTCATTTTCCTTGTGATTCTGTATCTGTCCAATTTTCTGTTGGTGACATCTGCAAAAAGCAGAGAGGCTCTTAATCACATTCCAAGCAAGGAGTCTGACATAATACAAGAGTTCCAGGCAATGCATACATATATAAATATATATATAAAAATATATAAATAAATATATAAAATATACATAAATATATATGTAAGTATATATATGTAAAGAATGCATCAGAGAGAGAAAAAAAAAGCACTAAATGGATGTGAAAATGCTATGACACTTTTTTTTTTTTTTTTTTTTTTTTTTTTTTTTTTTTTTTTTTTTTTTTTTTTTTTTTTTTTTTTTTTTTTTTTTTTTTTGGTGTTGTGTTGCTTTGAGATATATTCTTTCCTGTAAAGATTTTGGAAAATTTTATGGGAATAAGGCACAAATTACCTAGCACATTTTTTTGCCAGGCTGCACTTTTGCTAACTACAAATAAATCTATAACCTCTTCCAGCTTACTACCTGCTCTTTCCCACATGAATGTGTCTCAAAAGTAGGATTTATTTTTACAAATAACCACTTGAAATTACCATTTTATAGCTGGGAATTTGAAACACACATCCTAAGATAACACAGAATCATAGAACAGTTAGTGTTGGAAGGCACCTTTAAAGGTCATCAATGAGGGACATGTATGAGGTCATCAATGAGGGACATCTTCAACTAGATCAGGTTGCTAAGAGCCCCCTCCAGACTAAGTTCAGACAACAACTGTGCATCTTGGCTAGCAGCTACTTTTAAGTTTCCACAGCCCAAATCCACTAACCTATTTACTGGCCAAGTCATCATCTGTGCTTAAAAAGGGAGGCAATTACTTCAGAGCATCTGAAAGCCCCACTTAGAGCTGCAGCAGTTTTGCATTCTATTTACTGCTTCAACTTATTTCGGCATGGCACCCATCTGGACTCTACCTCCTCTCTATTTCCTCATGGTTTGCAATTTCCTAAGTTCCTGCACATATTTTTTGCATTTTATGGACAATCAGCAATTTTTTGGCTCCACAAATACAGCTTAGCATTCCTTCACTTTATTTTTAGCTCAAACTGGCTACTAGGAACTACAGTCTGCTAGTTTTGAGCCTGCTAGGGCAGCTGACTCATGGACCAGATGGCTCAATTCCTTTCCAAAAGCTCAGTGAGAATGGACCTCTAATTTCTAATATAACAGCTGATTGCAAATCCTCAGATAAAGCTGATACTTGAGGTATGTCTGTACATGTTGCCCACAGGCCTCAGCAGGTCCCACTGACTGAGAAAACACCCTCCATTCACCCTCAATTGACTTATCTTGGGTTTGTCTGGTTTTAGAATATAATAAAATAGACATTCCATTTGGAAAGGACCTATGACGATCCTCTAGTCCAACTGCCTAACTGAGGGCTGGCCAAATTAAAGCACGTCGATAAAGGCATTGTCCAAATGCTTCTTAAACATGGACAGCCTTAGGGCATCGACCATCTCTCTAGGAAGCCCGCTTGGGGAAAAAAAATGCTTTCCAGTGTAAACTTCAGGAAGAGCTTTGAACCATTCCCACGCATCCTGTCGCTGGGTACCAAGAAGAGTTACACTCCCTCCCTCTTCACTTCTCCTCCTCGGGAAATTGCAGAGATCAGCGAGGTCACCCCTCAGCCTCCTTTTCTCCAAACCAGACAAGAGCAGAGCTCCAAGCCGCCCTTCGGAAATAGTTTTCGTTGTTTATATTTGTTCGGATGTGTTTGGTTTGGGCTCCGCCTCGGGAGGGAGGGCAGTCGGAGAGAGGGTAGGCGGGCCGAGGGTGGGAGGGAGGGACGGCGAGCGGGCAGTGGGTGCTGGTGGCATTGGCTGCATCCGCGCAGTGCCTCGGAAGGCAGGACGGAGTCGGGCGCCGCGGCTGCAGGTGGGAAGAGGGAACCGGGAATGGGGAGCTGGGGACGGACGGGCAGGCAGGCAGGCAGTCGGTGCCTTGCGAGGAGCGCGGTGTGTCTGGTTGGGGCGGCGGGACGTTTCGGTGTCTCCCTCCGGCTGAAGCGCTGCCCACAGCGGTGCCGGCAGGCTGAGCCCTCCCGTGCGTCCCGGGGACAACGCCGGGCTGTTTCCATAGCCGGTGCCTTGCCCTGCCCGGCACCGGTGGCGGGGGGAGCAGCCTCTGCTGCGGAGCCGGAGCACGGGGGCTTCGCTGCTGCCCAGCCGGCTCCTTCTTCCTTTCGCAGCCAGCTGCGGGGTACTATAGATCAATACCTTCGTCTTATGTATGTGGTAGGCGTTCCGGTTGTGTTGTTTTAAAAAAAACAGAAAACAACAACCCCCCAAACCTCTAAGTTAGGCCTTTTTTAGCACATTTCCATTGTTGCTGAGCTCTGCTTTTCGGTAAGCTTATAAGCATTCCAAGTCAAGACGGAAAACAGTTCAGAATATTAACTGTGAAGTCTGCAAAACAGATGGAGAACCGCGGATAACGTGGTGGTGACTGTAACGATATCTCTATTACTTCCAGGTACTTAACAGCACCAAAAAATGAAAGCTTTCCCATCATGTCTCTCCATGCAGTAGCACTCGCCAGCTACAGCAGAACAGAAATCTTCAAGCACCCCTGCTCTGAAAAGGTGAGACAAGGGAGGTCTGAATGGTGTCTCAGGGTGCTTGTTGGTTGGGGGGACTTGTTTCAAAAAACAGCTTTTAGTTGTCAATGGTTGTAGTAAATATTTTTTAAATGCTGGAAGTTTCATTACAGACTTAACTTGGGAGAATCTGTTAATTGCTGATATTGAAAACAATTTTTTAAATTTAATAAATATAATTAAAAATAATTCATACTTTATTCAGTAATATTGACAATATGTTGTGTATAAAGCCTACTTTCTCTAAAGAAGGGAAAAAACACCATCAGGTACTGAAAAGAGTATTTCTTTAAGCACTGGTTTAATCAAATGCTAAATATTTTAAATCCAGCATACTACTTTTGCCCTGAAACATTATTCTTCAGTTAAAAGGGAAATTCTATGTGGGTTTTAATTTCTTCTGCTTTCTATGGGTCTGAAATGTATGTGGATGATATCTGCACTCTGAGTCACCTCCCTTTTCCATCTAGGGAGTGTAGAGGTCAACCACACAGGGTGGCAGAGAACATTACACCTTTAACTTCCTGTTCACTGGGTGCAGAGGAGGGTGAGAGGAATCCTGGGGATGCTTTTGTCTGGAGACCTCTCACTGATGTGGGGAGAAGGCATGAGGTGCTCCTTGGTGAAGTGCCTTTTAGTAATGCGCATGTCAGAGCAGGGCATCCCTTTGATTTCCCTGGTTTCTGTGATGTGCTCTTCAAGTCCCTGACATACTTGAGGTAGTGGATGGGGAGGAGGCAAATGTGTGTCCCTCACAAGGAATTTGTGAGCTTATGGAGGAAACGTTTTGCTTTGCTGTGTGTGTCTTACTCCTTTGTTGGAATTAGCCCCCGAGTATCTGCACTAAACTGCTTCCCTGATTCAGTTTACAGTGGTTTGACAATACGGTAAATCCAGCTTTGGTGGTAGAAATACTGAATTGGAAGCATCACGACTGCAGAAAGTGAAGTGCTGATCTGGTACAAACCTGCTCAGGCGGTCCAAATGCATTCAAAATTTTGGTCAGCTTATACTGACCAAATAAAACCAGGCTATGTGCCAGGCTGAGCATTATCCATCTGTGATGCATCTTTCTTTATGCTGGGTCAGCCACCTTGCTGATGTGAACCACATCAGCATGTGTGGAATGTGTAGAACACACATAGTGTATTTTATCAAATTAGATGACATGACCACGCTTCCTCCCAGTTGTTAGAGCTGGAAGATCAAGCAGCACGTGGATGAGGTGCTTGTAGAGTTGGGGACTCATAGATTTAGCTTATATCTTGTATACCTCTAAATAAGCCTGTGCTTCCAGATACAGAGTGGTGGTTCCTTGAATTGTTTTCTACTTCATTGCTGTTGTTTTGGTAGATACACAGACATCACAGATTCAGACCTTTTGTCTTGTGTATTCCTTATGCACGTGTTTAATCCTCCTACTGTGGAGAGTTTCTTTTGGTCACCTGCTTTCTGTAGTGAAATGAGAGATGCAGAGCTGAGATGCCAGTGCATGCTTCTGAGGAGATTGTCAGACAGCCAGAAATATAGGCAGTGATTAGGTGGCTGTTGGCAGGCATCAGAACAGTGTTCTTCCTGCTGGGATGAGCGTGAGACTGAGATTATCATTAGCAGAGTGCTGCTGTCTTATAACCAAATTGTCTGCCTCTGTGTTCTTGTTCTAGTTAAACCACGAAAGCCTAAAGGTGGCTTTCACTGAGTCAGCGTGTTCTTCAAATCCCTCAGCGAGGATCAGCTGCCTTGCTCCAACACCTCAAATCTCCGTTCTCTCAGGTATGCCAGCCGGTTAGTTCTAAAATGCCTCCCTGTGAGAAGTTTTCCTGGTGCTTGTAGTGGTAACAAAAGCTATTGGTACTAAACAACTGTAGTCTGGTTGAAGAGGGTTGCTTGTTTATTGACTTTGAGGGTTGTACATTGTCCAAATATATTATGCAATTTGAAAGTATGAGTGCTTTTTGTCTTTTAAGTGGCCATCTGGCCATTTTACTTATGTTGACATCTTGTATGCTCATAAGTAAAATACTTAAACTGTTCAGATGATCCTTGGAAGGTTAACTTCTTCTTCATTCAGGAAATAGTTTCTCAGATTTTAACAGATTATCATAATTACTCACATGACAGTTACAAAACTGATTTGAGATTTTTTTTTTTTTATATTGGAACTAACTTATTTCTGATAGTACCTTAAAATGGGATGTTTGGTTTTGGGTGTTTTATTTCTTGTTTGTTTGGTTTAGTTATTTGTTTGTTTTATTTCTGTGAGGTTGGGTGGGTTTTTTAAGCTTTGCAGAGCAGAAGAACAAATTAAATTTTTAAAACTTGTTCTTTTTTCTCTTACAATCCACTGAGAACTGGGACTTAGCAGATTTAGTCAGCATGGTTATATGATTAGACTAGAGATGCACCATGATGCTAGAGTAGTGGAGATGACAAAGGAGGAAAGGGGATGGAAAGGCTGCTGGAGTGGCTTTGCAATAGGAGAGCAGAGCAGAAGAATTGAAGACAGTTGTGGGACTGAGCACACCCTCAGCATGTTTGCAAATGATACCAAGCTGTGCGGTGTGGTCAACAGGCTGGAGGGAAGGAACGCCATCCTGAGGGACCTTGACAGACTTGAGGGGTGGGCCTGGGCTGACCTAATGAAGGTTGAAGATCCTGCATCTGGGATGGGGCAATGCCAAGCACAAATACAGGCTGGGCGGAGAATGGATTGAGAACAGCCCTGAGGAAAAATACTTGGGATGCTGGTTGATGAGAAGCTCAGTATGACCCAGTAGTGTGCACTTGCAGCCCAGAAACCCAAGTGTATCCTGAGCTACATCAAAAGCAGCATGGCCAGCAGGGCAAGGGAGGTGGTTCTGCTCCTCTGCTCTTGTGAGACCCTGCCTGGAGTACTGCATCCAGCTCTTGGGGCCATCAATATAAGAAGAACTTGGACCTGTTGGAGCAAGTCCAGAGTAGGCCGTGAAGATGATCAGAGGACATGAGCGCCTCTCCTGTGAAGACAGGCTGGAAAGGTTGGGGTTGCTCAACCTGGAGAAAAGAAGGCTCCAGAGAAACCTTCTAGCAGACTTCCAGTACCTAAAGGGGGCCAACAAAAATGTTGGAGAGGGACAAAAGCATGTAGTGATAGAAGGGGGGATAGTTGTAAACTGGTAGGGTAGATTTAGATTAGATATTAAAAAGAAATTTTTTACTGTGGGAGTGGTGAGGCACTGGATTAGGTTGCCCAGAGAAGTTGTGCCTCATCCTTGGAAGTGTTCAGGGCCAGCTTGGATGGGGCTTTGAGCAACCTGGTCTAGTGGAAGGTGTCCCTGCCCATGGCAGGGGGATTGCAACTAGGTGATCTTTCAATTCCCTTTCAACCCATACAATTCAATGATTTTTTTTTTTTTTTTACTCTAACACTAAATGTTTTGTTTTGCATGGAAAAGATGATGTTTGCAGCCCAAGTTAAGGTATTTGTGCGCAATTGAAATGGTAATAATTACCAAAATAGTTTTCTTTTCCTGAAAAGATTGAAATATGTTTTCTTGAAAGTCAGCTAGGTTTAATTTTCCCATTCCTGCCTTTATACTGCCATGGCTGGCTACATTGGCAAGGTGTTTCTATGCAGTTGCAGCCAGTAAAATGCACAGTTTTGCTGCTATTTCTTCAAGAGATTTGTCCTGATAAGTGGCAGGTGACTGATCCCAATTACTGCCATGCTCTTCAGTTGTTTTTGATCTGGCTTTACTAGGATGGCTTTGCTAACAGCTCTCACAGTCTAGCTTATAGTTCTCCATTTTTTCAGCTTTTTCTTGATGAGGGCTGGTCTTTATATAGACTTGCTCTTCCAAAGTATTTGAGGGGTTTTGTTTTGGTTTTGATTCCTTCATTTGTAAACTCCCTTATGTTGTTTGAGCGCATGCTGGCTTCCAGGTGAGTGACTCATGAGGTTTACTGTTTTCCGTGGAGATATGTTCAGGAGAGCAACCTTTGGGCAAAGTCTGCAGTCTACAAGACATGCTGCTTTTTTTCACACCAGCAGTGTTTAACATTCCTTGTGGTCTTAGCTAGGAGTTCTTTGTCCTGGAAATTATTCTTCTTGACTGTATCTATTCTTAGAATTTTACAACCACTTATCTTACCCAAAGGGACAGTTAGTTGTTAACTTCATTGTGTTGATTATGGTCAATGGTTCCTTCTTGGACATAGACCTCTTGTCTAATCTCTCAATTACTTGGATTATGGCAGTTCCTTTGAGGTGTTTTTATTCAAGGTATAGGACTTCAGTTTATTCTTCAATACCTACTGGTTGCAGTGTGCACTTCTGTGCCCTGCTAATGTTGCCATATTTGCCACTAAAAGCAGTTTTTCAATTTTCTGTTGAACTACAGTTTTGCAGTAGATCACACAGGGTCTTGGCAGGCAGTGCTTTTGATTCCTTCAGAGGCATTATAATGAACTTGTGACAAAGTGAAGTTTTTTATGGGTTCATGGAAATTTTGCCACCCTTGTAAATAATGGACTGAAAGTTACTTTAGCCATTTCCACATGAGAAAGAGTGTCTGACTGAACTGAAACAAGCACTTGACTTTTTATTACCCTGTGACTAAGGGTATTTTTTTTCTTATTGCTCTATTGATCCTCCATATGTGTTGCTATAATGTAATCTTCTCTTTTACTGGCAATAGGAGCAGTACCTGTATCAGTAAGTGTACCTCATCCTTTTTGTAGAACAATGATGTTATTGAGCACGCTGATAATGAGTCACCATTAAAGTCTTAGCTAATTGTGTTTGGCTAGCAGCAGGATACTTAACTGTTGCTTTATTGCCTAGCCTTATCAATGACAGAATTGCTTCCTGGGTACAGAAAGCAAGAGCTTTCTTGCAGGAAGAGGCAGCACGGAGTGGTGTGAATTAATCTCTTTCCTGTCTTCTTACCTGTGTCAGAAATAAATTTATTCACGTACATTTTATTCATATTGTATATTAACCTTTTCTTAGGACTGTTTCCTAACCTTTTGATTTCTTTCTTTTTCTGAACAGATGAATCTTCAAGGCCAGCAGTGATTGGACATGCTGGAAGTTTTGGATCATATCCCAACAGTGCTGAAGCTATCAAAGACATTCTCATGTCTGTTTTAAATGCATCTGGTTTGAAGCCCTCTTTGGTGCTGGAGCAGAACACCATGCAGGGAGCAGAGCATCCAGACAGTGATGTGGAGCAGTGGGAAGAAAGCAGTGCTGGGGATAGCCACGATGACAGCGACAGCGATTCTGCACATCACAACACTGCCTGTACACAAACAGACATTCGGTTTACAAGGCACCGGGCATGCTGGAACAACACAGACTCTGATTCCTCGAAACCTTTGCTGGATACTTTCTTTTGTCCCCGTTTCTCTGATGGAGATCCTGCTGCGTCCTCCTTGAATAGTTTCACTCTTTCGGACATGCCCCCTCTGAAGCAGGACTGCTTTACCCAGGTGACATTAACAGGAGGCACTGTCACATCGGCTGCTGTGCATTCTGGAAAAGAATGTTATACTCTCCCTGAAAGAGACTTGACTTTGATGAGGTTTCTTTCCAATTCAACTGTTGGTAAGCCAGCAGATCTTGTGCAATACCCTGATGCCTTGGAGCCTGTGCCCGTCAGCAACAGTGACAGCAGTTCTCCCAGGGGCCTTCCCCAGTCAGAGCCAGTCAATCCAACAGGTAACTTTGCAGGTGCATTTTTGTTGTAAGATTTTTGCACTAGGAAAGACTCAACTGTAATTGAAGCAGGCCTTGCTTATGGTGATTGCAAATTAGACAAATGCTGTCATTCAAAATAGGAGGAAGGGCAGAAGGAGAAAGCTTAAAATACAAGGAGAACCAGAAGGTTGGACTTGGTAAAACAGGAGACTCTCATGCTTACGGTAGGCATCTCTCGTGGTGCAGAAATGCTTCTGTAGTATGCAACTGTTGGAAAAATGTAAAAATTGCTGAGCTGTGAGCAATGTAGAACATGCACTGGATGGGCTTTCTAGCAACTTTGTCTTGTCTTCACTGTTACCCTTCTCCCAGTAGCAGAGAGCATGAATCTGGGCACTGGGTAGAGTGATTCACTGATGTGCACAGGCTCCCTGATTCGTCTTGTGTTTGACATTAGCTGGAGGAAAGGGAGTCCTTGGATTCAGGGGTTTTGGAGACAGGGCATTAACATCCATTCTCATTACAACTAAATTGGCTTGTGCCAGAGTGGGACTGCTTTTCCTTTTCCCTTTTCCAAGTGCACCTGAGGTCTTAGAGACACAAACCCCCAGCCAGTACAGAAGAGGATCTTTTTACACATCACCAGTTTCCAACTGTAGGGATATCCTGTGTGTTGTCTCTGAAGAGACACTGGCTAAGGGCTGCTAGCAGAGGGTGGCCCCTGGGCAGGGTGCCTTCTGTCCCTGCAGTGTCAGGGGGCTCAGGAAAGCACAGGCCCATAAAGAGCTGTTTAGAGGGAATTTTCAGCACGTGCCCCAGAGATGGATGGGGGAGCAGCTGGCTTGGCCATGGGTGAGGCACTGAATCAGGTTCCCTGGGGAAATTGTAGGTATCCCATCCCTGGCAGTGTTCAAGGCCAGGTTGGAGGGAGTCCTGAGCAACCTGATCTAGTGAGTGGCATCCCAGCCCATGGCAGGAGGTTGGAACTACATAATCTTTAAGGTCCCTTCCAACCCAAATCATTCTATGATGATAGACATTGAGCCTCAGAAAGTTGTTGCAATTGAGGCCTGATTTTCCTCCTGGAATAAAAGCAAACAGCAGGGAGTTTTCGTCTTGCCTTTCTATTAGAAATAAAAATGACAGAGGCTAGCATTTGGTTTTTTGTTTCTGTTTTGGTTTTTTTCTTCCCCCTTTGGTAGTAGTAGTCCTAGAGTGACACTCCATTGAGAACCACTTCCAGGTTCTGATCCTTCCTAGCTATTCACCCAGAGCTCCTCCAAGGTCTCAAGTTGGCAGCCAGATCTCAAACAGGCACATGCCATTGCTGGACTCGGAGCTCTTAATAATTACAGCTTTGTCATCCAGGATAGGCTGTCGTCAACAGTTAGGATGGTGACGATTATGGTTGTTTCCTGCTTCTGGGTGCTTTGCTGGCTCCGTGCCTTTGAGAAGTGCCAGTCAGGGAGAAGGAAACCGCACCCAGCAGTTTGGGCTGGCTGGGGCCAGTCACGCGGGTTTGGGTAGCTGGATATGGAAAACACAGTCCAGGCTCTCGGGGTCAATGGGAACTGCGAGGCACGTGTGTAAGAACAAATAAATTTTGCGTGACTCGGTCTTCTGGCACGAGTCGGACGTGCCACGAGCTTGTGCTGGGTTAGTAGCACTGCTGGCTCTCCAGAAAGCAAAGGGAGGAATGTGGCAGCGAAGTGACTGAAGGAGTAGTATTCTTGAATTTACTAAAAATAGGAGTAAAGGATCCTGTCAGACACTGCATGGTGCGGTGGGCTCTCTCTGCTTTAGGCTCTGGCCTGTTCTGTACGCAGTGAAAATTTCTGCATTTCGTCATTCCTTGTTGCTTTTAGCCATTTAACTTGCTACTGGGTAGCCTGGGGAGGGAGATCTCCTGCATTGTCCAGGAGCATGAGGATGTGAAAAGCAAAATAGCAAAATGAAAAAGAAGAAATAAAATACCTAATTTGAAGGCAGGAATTATGCAATAGCATTTCCTGACTTGCTATCCTTTCAATTGCTATCTCAGAGGTGGTTTCTCACAGGAGAATTGATGACAGATGTATAAGATGTAAGAAAATTACATAATATAACTTAAATCAGAATAATTTTTTTTTTCAGTGGGGTTTAATGTTTTTGTTTAGTGGGATTTTTCTGCTGTATCCGGGAGATTCCTGTAAGGCCTTGTTCATATGTTCAAGGGCCATTCTCTAGTGTCCTCGTTCAACCTTCTGAAAGGCTCTGTCATTGTTCATGAAGAGTTTGTGACTGAGTTTGCTGTTTTCTGGGGGCTTTGTTGTGGCTGATGTGTCACTGACAGTTCACAGGGCTTGCTCTTGCTTTTGACCTCCATGTGCATCAAGGTCACTTCCTTCTTTGACTCTTTAGGGCTCTTTCCCCAGCCCCAGCAGGCTCCAGGCAATAGTGTTCAGGAGCACAACAGCAACCTGATAATTTTTCTGCATCAGACCCAGCTTCCTTCCTGTGCTTCTTCTCACTTAACATTCTTTTTTCTTTAAGATGGGATGCAAGAGTGAGCAAATGAGAAAGTTCCCATTAGATTTCAAAATTACATTTAGGATGAATTGTATCTTATATTTGAAAGGGAAAGGAATAATTTTGTCATGTCCTTATTTCTGCTTATTATTTTTAGTTCAGAGACTAGTGTTTGTTATCTTAACAGATGAGAATGTAGGCTTTTATCAACCTGTAGAGCTTTCGGCATTGCTTATCCAGTAAGATGAATCATCAAGTGGGTATGAAAATAGCCTAATTAGGCCATTAAATCTGTTTTGAAAAGTCATATTGAGAGCCTTTTCATTTTTCCTTCATGGTATACACAATGGAGGTATTAATAATTCTGTACAAAAACACTGCGTTGCTACGCTCAAGCACAGTATTGACTTTCCAGTCTGATGTCATCGATGCTCAGGGCAGCATAACATATTTTCTGTAAATAAGGCAATATAAATAATCTAAACTAGGCCTGAGAGTCAGCACCCCTTAGCTGTAGAAAGAGTTTTTATAAATTATGATCATATCTTGTGGGACTTCTTTAGCCTTTCTATGAATTTAAAACAAATTTAAGAATGACTTTTTTTTTTAAATAAAAAGCCTTTGATTAAGCCATGCTATTCCCAAAGGCTTTAAATACTGTGTGTGGTGGCCATTTACTTACAGGATATTTTATCCTGAAATCACAAGAATGAAAGAGAAATTGCTTGAGTTTAAGGTGAAAAAAGAGGTAGTAAACACCTGTCAGTGTCAGTTATTTTCTTTCGTATCTCATTAGTATGTACGTTCGCAGACATTCTATATATTCTTTATCATCTTTCCATTAAATTTCTTGTAACAGTGGCTCTGAGTGCTTTGAAAACAATATATAGAATCATAGAATACAGTAAGCTGGAGTCATGAGGATCATCAAGTTTAACTCTTGGCCCTGCTCAGGACACTCCAAGAACCTCATCATGTGCCTGAGAGCATTGTCCAAATGTTTCTGAGGGCATGATATCACACTTTCAGTTCTCTGGGAAAGAATATTACAGCTATACGTATACTTACATATAAAAAGCAGTCCATGGTTCATCTGTACAAAACCTGATGTGTGCTCTGCTGCACAGTGAAAAGTTCTTACCGGGGGAAAAGGAGATTAATTCTGTTTCACATGCTCAACCATACTCATCAATGATTGCCAGGAGAAGAAAACTGCTGTACTGAAAGGCAGGGAGTACTGTGGCTAATGCCACAGTTGTGCTTATTACCATGCAGTATGAGTTGCATTTGGAAACAGGAGAGAGATTTCCTTGGGGTATGGAAACATAACGGCAAAGTGTTTTCTAAACTTGCTGTAGTCACACAATGCCAGCAGTGATACAGGGAATCTTCTAAGGCTGATGCGTCTCTCTGCATGCCCAGATAGCAGTGAGATTTCTTTTTCTTCCAGGAATTATGAATGAGAAAAGCACAGTGTCACCTGGCTCTGTTGCCAACTGCAGAGCATCACTGTAAACCCAGCCTCAGGTTCTATCTGTGGTTATCCCCAGCAGCTCAGGCCGTAGCTGGAAGAGGACTGATGTGGGAGTGCAGAGCTGTCACTGCATGACATTTAAACGATGTTTCTCTGATAGTTGATGCTCGTTCTTAAGGTTGTCGAAGTAGTTTAAATGCCAGTGTGTATCTCACATTTCTATCCTCCTTAACTTCCACCACAACTTCCAGCCCCAGCAGTGTTCTGTTTGGGAAAGAAAGTTTGCTTTGCTTTCTGGAAGTCACTCTGCACGCATCCTGGGAGCTGCAGAAAAAGAAATAACTAATAAAAGTTCTTGTTATACCCACAGGTTCTACTTCTCCTTTGAACATAAGTGCTATACCCTTGAATCGTTCGTTGCAGGATATCTGCATGCTTCCAGAGGATGTGGAGAAGGTGAGGACATCAAATACTATCATCATAATGTGTTTTCCATTTTATAGGTGGCAAACCCAAATGACAAGAGGTGTTTCTCAATAAAAGAACTTCCTGATAGATGTACTAATCTTTACAAATACTGTACTTTCCCTCTTCTTGCCCTCTGTGGGTGAACCTACAAACCTAACATGCCTATTTCATAATTTATTTTCTACTCTTAATCCCATTTATTAAACATTTTAATTATTTTAAAATAATGGAATTATTTAGGAACACTGTACATTTCTACTTTTCATTCCATTATTTTCACACACATTTCTTGAGAAAAACAGGATTACTTTAGTATCTTTAAAGTTGTATTGCAATATGTAACATAGAATTTGTTGCAGCTATGTGCATACGGGTGGGATTTACCTCGTGCTTTTACTGTCAGAAAATGGGAGAAGCTGGGGGTTTTTTTTGTGTGTATGCTTATGCTGAGCATGTGAGATTGCTGTCAAACAGTTACAGTCTAAATAACAAGCACAATAACTCAAAAAAACTGCAGTAATTTAAGGAGTTTCTCCTGGTTTTCTAATAAGGGGCCCAAACAGTCTTAGGTGTGTTGTCAGATAGGCAGTCCACTCAAGCCTATAAACAGAGCTAAAGACGAGGGGATAGTCTTGTCACACAGCACTCTGTGTGCTAAAGGTAATCTTTCCTAACAGTGGGAAAAGAGGGGTTAATGAATTGTGACAAGTAGGAGTTAATACAAAAGAGCTTTAAAAATGTGCCTAGAAAATTTTTTGTTGGACTATGGATGTGCAAGTGGTCCCATGTCCTGGGCCCAAGAGGTAATTATCTTTGTACACAGCACTGGTTTCACTGGAGTAGCAAGTTCTGCATTTTGTTTGTAGCTATCAGCATCCTTAAGGTTCATTTCAAACAAAAACCCCTGACCCAATAAATCATATACCAAAACGCAACAAACTTGTGAATTAGCTTTTCATATTGCTTTTTATGAAAGGAGAAATGTGCTGTCTATCATGTGGGAACAAGAACAAACTCATTTTCTTTCAGTCACCAGGAGACCAGTGAGTAGATACCTGAATTAGAAACCACAGTCTGACAAGTACTGAGTGAGTCAAGATCGTATCAGCTACTACTGCTGTGCAGAGAAGTTGGGCTGATGTCATTACAGGTTAAAAGATAGTAAGAGCTCAGTCCAGATGAGCTGCAAATACTGCCTTTATAAAAAAACAAAACAAAAAACCTCCAAACAAGCAAAATACCCCAAAACACAAAATACTTTGAGGTTGTTAAATAATCTCTTTGAACTTTAGGACTGAAAACTAAGGTATGTGTGGTGTTGGCAAGTCTGAGGTCTGAGAGTTGTAGTCAAGTTGTAATCATGTGCCAGGAAGGAAATGGGCCAGATAATCTTAGAGGAACTTTCCGTTGATGTTAGTGGGGGAGAACATAAATGAGAAGGCTGGTGTGTCACAGCTGAGTTGGGACTGCTTCTTAGGGTGAGGGAGATATCAGTAGGCAAAGGTGAAAGTTGATAGTCATGCTGAGTATAGGAGTCCTTGTATTCTGTCCCATCTTATTGCAAAGTAGCTCTCTCTTACACTCCTAATTGCTTTTATCAGCAGGACATGCTGACTGGGCTGTGCTCTGCCCCTAACTTGAGACTTTTTGAATCTTCAAAGTAGGAGATATCTCCCAAAAGGAAAAAAAGCTGTTTAACTCTTTCTTTTCTAATGTAGCAAACTCCTGGACTGCTGAAGTTCATTGAAAGTTGTCTCTGGAGAAACTGTGCACCAAGCAAGTGGTGTTAATCAGTGTTAGGGAAAAGATAAAAGTATTTTCAAACACCTACAGGGACTTGGTGGGTGCTCTCTAATGTTGAAATTAATCTCGTCTAAATGTATTCATCTGTGAGCAATGAGAAAACTGTTGTCCG